GGTGAGATGGTGTTCCGCCTGTCGAACCTTTTGATTTTCGAGGAGCTCGAGTTGAAGAAGATTTCAATCCTGCAGCTTCCATAGCTTGAGCTACGGCGGCTCGTGCTGCTGAACCGGATCCTCGTCTAAGGGTGGGGGAAAGGTGGGTCCGATAACTGTTCTCGTCAGCGCGACTCGGGGAACAGGAAAAGGAGGAGTACGAAAGTGGGGGTATGACGAATCGACCCCAAAATGAGAGATCAAGGCCAAAGTGGGGAAGAGGTGAACACGAACACTCACTGTTGTTGCAAGTTATCCTGCCTACTGGTCCGAGTCTCACAACCTGGATAAGGACATTGGAAAGCTTTCACTCCCGTGTGTATCCGATGGTGTCTTTGCAAATGTCCTCCGGTTGTAAAAGCTCTTTGACATATATCACAGATATGAGGTTTTGCCTTTCCCTCTGCAGGACCGGTAGCTCCGTTTTTTCCCTTTGTGGAGGCGGAAGAACCGATTGGTGGCATGTCCATGGAAGAAGACTGAGAGGTATTGGCGGAATCAGGGAAAGATACAGGTGTTGAGGTGTTGGGCGCCGAGCTGTGGAGGTGAGAGGTAGGGGTAGCATAGGGGTTGACGATTGTCATCGTCGGGCGTTGGTGAGGGGAAGTATGTGAGGACATTTGCATAGAGTGAAATTGAGAGGGTGAAAAAAATGGCTCAAAATTTAGAAAGAGGGTGAAAATGCCGTATGACGTGAGCGAGGAACGAAAATGTGAAGGGGAAAAAGAGATGTGAAAGTGAAGAGAGAGTCCCAAAAGTATGAACTATGACTGTGCGTGAAGGAGTCGAAATTTTAACGGTGGCCCAAAAGAAAATGCTCGTATTTGAGGTTGCTAGCCTGTTGAAAGGATTTGACCGAGGTGGCCGGAGATCATGTAAGGATTGCTGGATTTTCGATGATACAACCAGGGTAACATACGTTGACACCGTCAATGAGAGGTCCGAGGGAAGGGGAGGATGAGACAGGTGTAGTAGATAAAGGAACGGGATCGATTTTTAAAGTTATGAAAGGTGAGAAGTGAGATGATAGGGAATAAGTAATAAGGGTAATGATAGAGGGTAAGTGATGAACCGGTATAGGGTGGAATGTAAATTTTTTGATGAGAAATGACGGGTATGAATGGATTGGTACCAGTGAAATATAATTTTTGGATTTTTGTATTATTCGGGCAATGATGCTGGGAAGGGGTAAAGTGATACCGAAAGTGCAGAAAGAGAACCGAGCGCCGGAAAGGCCGAAGAGCGTGACAACGTGTCGGTCGGGAAGATTTGGACAACGGAGAGTGCAAGATGTGGATGGGGAAGGTAGCAAGGTGGTGCGAGTGTAAAGGGCGCATCAAGAGGCACGACGGAGAGAGAGGGTGAGAGTTGAAGAGTAAGTGGTGGTATGAATGGTTAGATACGTGTTCGTCGTGTTTTGATGGCATATGGGTGGTTGGGGGTCCGGGGTTGGGGAATGAGTTTTGAATTTGAATTTGGGGTGTAGAGGCAAGGGGAGCATGCGATCAGACATCGTGTTAGAGACGGACACGGAATAGTCGGTTGGTTGAAAAGATGAACAATAATGTCGGATCCAAATTTATTCAAAGGGGGTTTGGTTCGAGTGATTGGGGGAGGGGGAGGGGGTTCGTAAGAAACCGAAGACCCGACGAAGGAAGGGAAAGATTGACCGTGAGAGGGAAGTGGGCAAGGTGAGGTGAGGGCGTAACAAGTGTGAGAATTGACGACGGCGAGGAAATGAGTAGATATCCGAAGTGAACGGATAGTGATAGAGAGGGGGAGAGAATGATCATGTTATGACAAGGTTAAAGGTAGTCGAATGGCGTGTCAAAGGGAGTATCGTCAGCTTTTTGATTTCTTTTCCGTCCATTTCCTCTAAGCGTTCTGAGATGAGACAGTAGGTATGACATCTTTTTTTCGTACCTCCATCTCTTCTTCTTTATTACGCCCCTATCATCCTTATACGCCCCCACGTCATGTAGGATCATAAAAGGGTAAACACGAGGGAGGGATGAGTCAGTCACTCTTTTTCTGACTAAACGATGAATGAGAACGGATTCGGCGATCAACCCGCCCCACCATGAGTTTTCTTTTGGACTTGTTCCCGCTATAGCTATACAACTCTCATCAATCATGTTGTCACCCTTCCAACACGCCCTTTACGCCCCATTTCATCCCCACTACCATGTCAAAACCCGATGCATGAAAGAGAGAATGTGGGAGAATTGTTGACGACGCGACATGTATGTATTTGTATACCGTACCGGGAAAAGATGGACGATCATGGATCAAAAGAAAAAGGCGACACCCGAAGACAAGACAAAAAAAGTTTTGATCCGGTCAAATGGTTCACGTTTCACATCTAACGGTCTAGACTTGAAAGGAGATGAGATTATGTGTATCCAAGATGATGAAGAAATAAGGGATGAGATGATACGTTTTAAAAAGATCGTCTGTGCAGGGATTTATTATCGTATCTAGGGTTTTCCTATACCCTGGGATATTTGATGGATTGTGTGGGTTCATAACCTTCAATCTTCTTAACCTTTTCATCCTCCAGAATTTTCACTTCACATATTCAGAGACCATCCCATCCATGTCACACGCACCAAGGGGTTCAAAGGAATGACGAACGATTCGAAATTGAACAAAATAACTCACACTTTTTCTTTGACGTATCCCAATTTCTCAATACCAACAATCCAAAATCCAAAATCCACAAGCCTCTTAAACTCCAATTCTCCAATGTTCTTTTTTCAGATGGTCAGATATCACCAAGATAACAGCTCCTCTAACAACTTCTACTATATCTATCTCACCACTTTCTTGTCGTCTCTCTACGACGAAAGAACGAAAGCTAGTCGTGGAATCTTGTTACTCTAATCTGATCAGGGGCTGATGATGTGGTTTAAGGGTTGTGGAAAGGGTGTAGAAAAAGGGTGGGTGTTTTACTGATTTCCGGATTTCTACTTCCGAAGTCTTTTCTTTCTCACTCTCTGTTTCTTTCTTTTCTGTCATCTCCTTTTTCTCCGAACTTTTGTTTGGGCTCAAAATGAGGGACCGACGGTACCTGCGGTCTCGTTCGGCTCTGTCCGTTAGGTGAAGAAAATACACTCGGGACTAATTGACGCCTCCCGCGCCCGCCCATTGGCTACGTCTTTTTTCTTTCTCTCCTCCACTTCCCATTCTTTATACAGTGTCAAAGTCAACCGTGGGATGAGGGACGAGGGGAATCAGGGAGAGAGAGCTATTCGTACCAATGGACGGACACAGTGTCCGTTCATGACGCACAACTCACGCGGGGAATTTCTCCGGTGACTCTCTTCCCTTTGCCCCTCTTCCCTCCTTCCCCATGTCAAGCACTTCGCAGCGATCGCAGCTTCCGGCTTCAGGCTTAGAGCACACACATACGGACTTAGACCGGGTCACGCGTCAAAAACGCCAAATGACCAGAGACTAAAGGGGAAAAGGCACAGTGCACAGACATCCGTTAGTCTTCTTTACCCTCGGCCACATGGCTTGATTTCCCTAGATGATGCAATAAGTGATAGAAATGCGGGTAGAAAGTATGCAGAGATGAATAGCCTAGCTACGAGTATACTTACGCCTCTTCACCCAATAAACCCGCTGTCAACTCTCTCAATCTCCTAACCAACATGCCAAAGTATGCGTCGCCTCGACCGGTTTTACCTCGTACTAAATCAGAATGCTGCGTGTCAGCCGAGACTGGAGCGCGTTCCTTCTTCTGAGAACGGGGATAACCCGGGGTCGTTTTACCATCTACCTGACGAATCTGATCCGCACCAACTGCCGAAGAAGACTGTAAAGTCTAGAGAGAGGCTTGCACTTGAGTCGTATTGGGACCCGGCTGATAATAACCCTCAAAGTCGATATGTGAAGGGACGAGAGTGGAGGTGCCAATGGGAAGATAAGCACACATGACACGAGATCAAAAACAGAATGGGCAGGAGGACAGTGAGGAACAGACAAAACCGATTAGAGCAAGTAAAACAAGACAACTCACCACCTCAACATAATCCAACCTCTCCAAGGTCCCCCTTAATGTCCCAGCTACACGTTCCAATACCCTACCCGTCGCTGCACCTCCAACCGACGAGTTCATCTGACCAGCAAAACTACCAAGACTCAACGATAAATTATCCGGTCTGACTTGTTCCGGCGCGCCTCGGGCGTCGTTTGCGTAGTAGAGAAGATGTCGCCAGACTAGTAAAAGAAGAGATTCGATGGAATCTGACCTGATCAGCGTATGTCTTATGAAAAAGGCCAGATGACTGACTAAAGTAGAGATGAGAACGAGAGGCAAAGGCGGCGGAGATGTTCTCAAATGTGGCTTCGTCTGGAGAGATATCGAGTGTTTGTAGTTTCTAAATAGTCAGCATGCAGTATTTCGAAATGCCATCAAAGTCAATGGTGTTCAAATCTGATTTTAAGAGGAGACACCGGAGTGTTTTCTAGTGGAACCCTCTGACATGTATTTGAGACTTCAAGTGGACGAAGAAGAGTAACAAAGCAAACGAGTGTCGTAAGAAGAGTAAGGAAGTGGACGAATGTTGTAGGAAGAGTAAGAAAGCAAACGAGTAACGTAAGAAGAGTAAGGAAGTGGACGAATTTTGTAAGAAGGGTAAGGCAGCTGTCGAGCGTCGTGAGAAGAGTAAAGAAGTGGATGAGTGTCGTGGAAGAGTTAAGGAAGTAATCAAGTAATGAAAATTATGACCGAGGTTATGAAGACAAGAGAGAAGAAGAAAAAAAACCAACATCATAATCATCTTCCCCCAATCCTTCCTGTAATCTCTCCACTAAACTCTCATAATCCGTACTATTCTCTTGCACACCTTCCGCCAACTCCCCAAGCAACTCCACTACCATGGGTAAACTTGGAGCTGTAGAAATATATTTTGTCGCGTTACCTCCAGAACGAGCGACTCCAGTGACTAACACCGGATGTCCTGTACCTCCTCTTAAACCTTTTGTAGTGGCGCAGAGATAAGATAAGAGAACTTGGTTGAGACTGAGAATTTGATTTTCGACTGTTTTGTAAGCTCAACTCTGCGTTTACATAACTACTATTGAATGTTCTCCTGTCCTTATTTCCATTTCCATTTCAGTTTTGATATGAGAAACGTGGCTCACCTTGTGTTTCCGATCCATCTAATAAATTATCAAACCAAGCTTGTCGATCGAAGAATCGCGCGGCTACCGATAACACTGATAGATGTAAAGCACCAAACCCTGATGGTGATCGCTGGCGATCAGTCACAGTCAATTAAAAATGGAGAATGGAGAAGGAATAAGACACACCAAGTCGTCCTCTGGGACTTTATGAATTACCATATTGATCAACGCTACTAACAATCGACATTCTTCTATACCGGTCGCAGTAATGTATTGTTGGTTTTCCCTGAATAGGAGAAGGATGGATTCTCGATGAGCATTGAGGAAGCTTATTGCCTGTGCATTAGTCATTGTGACATACCCAAATGAGGGGAAGTTGAACTTACATGACCCGCACCGGATCGTTGTGGCTTTGCCAGACTTGACAAAGTACGCGCGAGGAGTTGAAGGGATAGGATGAGAACTCGATGTTGTCGGAGTATCGTCTCTGTGGCTGAGGCGTCGGCTAAGATTTAGCAAGATGACTTTGACTTGGCGGTTTCGACAGCAGGGAAAGAGTATCTCAAGACAGGCAGAATCTTTGTAGGGGATAGAGAGAAGAGAGTAGTAACGCAAGTGAGAGAACTCATTGGGTTGATCAGGAGGGGCTGCAATGTCTGGATGATATAGGGGTAAGAGGGAAGAATGACATTTACTCACCCATTGAATCATCCGCTATAGGTTGTACAGCTATAAATCCACAGGTCGCAAAAACCTCAAAGATGCCTGCGTCCAACAACTCTTCTGCTCCTTTTCTACTCCCCGCGACAGTCATCAAGAAGGCAGTCTTCGCTTCGAACACCCAGTAAGCGTGGAAATCGCCTTTTAGTCAGCTCTCTCTCTCTCTTTGTGTATGTGTGTGTGCGCGTGGTTCGTGTACTACAAGCTATGATAGAGGAAGGATCATATACTCACTTGGATCCGGTCCGAGACAATCTATCAAAGCCATCTCCCTATCTTTGATACTTCTCACAAACAACGACAGATAACCTCCTGAAGTGAGAGGAGACAAAACATGACGATCTCTCGCCGTCTGACAAGCCGAGACTATACCAGCGAGTAAAGAGAAACATTCCGTCTTCCATACATCTCTATCGTCCATTGCGTCCCTGCACAAAATCGGAATGAATCTATCTTTTTTCGTTCCCAGTACAGTCATGGTAGCTCTTTGTAATGCGGATGGTGGGATTGTCGTTTCTTTACTGAAATTGGAAAGAACCGATGGGGCGATAGAAGCTCCATCATCATCCACTGGGGTAGATGAGGCAAGAGGGAGGAGTTGAAGGTATTGACCTATTGAAGCGTATAGGTTTCCTCTGGCATGTTCTGAGAAACCAGGATGGGTGACAGCTTCTATAATTCCCAACAGAACTGCCGAGAGTTGATCAACGGGAAGATTTATACCTTCCATTTCTCCCAATAGTCGGACGACGGTAGACATAACCACTAAAACTGATTCGCATAGGATATCGACGATTCCGGGTGCTTGAGCGGTGGTCAAACGACTAAGTAGAACGTCAAGCAGAGTGAAAAGGACGACATCCTGTTGTTCGTCACTGACATGGTGGAACAACATAGCAAGAGACACTTTGAGAGTCTCGTTCCATGCCGTTAACAACTCTCCTTTGGCCAGGGCAATGTCCGTTTCGCGATTTTTCCGAGATAAGGTGGCTAAGATATATTCAGCTTCTTCTCCCATGGCTTGAGATTGAGGACCAGCAGTCAGGGTACCGGTACGTTCGAAATGTCTTCTAAACGCGTAGAGCTCGCGTTTGAGAGAAGGGATGTCGAACCACTCGGCGTCAGGGCGTTTGAAACGATCAAAGTCGAATTCTTTATAAAATGTCAGATCACGAGCTGAGGCAATGTTCTCGGGAACGGTTTCTCGGAAAGTCATATCGATAGATTCAAGGAGAGAGATGATAAGGGGCGGTCGGGCTTCTTCATCCACTAAATCTTCTTCCGCATCTGTTGCCAAACCTCGAAAGAGGGCACGGGCAACTGTGGTAGATGACGGTCCTGCACCGTCAAATGAAAAGGTCTCCAAGGCTACACAGGACAAGATCCATCGTTGGTACTCAAGAAAGACCACGAGAGTGTCGGCGGTGGTGGGTATTTCTGATTGACCAGTGACAGCTACTCCTGAGCCAACAGCGTTTTCGGTGGTATTAACAGGACAATCCAGGGGTATTGTCGCTAATTGTCGACTGGCATAGGCCGCGGTGGACATGGCAAATGACATGGAGGAGCGACTGGTAGTAGGGTGGGAAAAGAGTTGATACAGAAGACGTGCAGATTTGGCCGCGAGTATTGGATGAGTCTGAATGAGTGCGACGGCGGATGATTCCATATCGGTACCCTCGGTCAGCTGATCAAGGATGATGTTCAAACATGATAGTCTGGCATCAGGATCTGAGGGGTCCTGAAGGTGGATTTCTTTGGCACGGAGCTCGAAACCGAGGAGGAAGTGTGAAATGTTGGGACCGGCGAAATCGATGATTGTACCATCCACGAGAAGGTCCAATATGGCCGAACGAATCAACAATGGTAGATCATTCAGATCATCTGGGGTATCTTCACCTCGCAATATTCGGCGGTCGATATCTGTAATTTCTTCAGGGGTTACATCCTCGCCCTCACCTTGTAGACGTTTGCAGAATCCTTGAGCGATACGAATAGAGTCATCAGACGCGTCCAATATACCGGCCAGACGGTTGAGGGAAGCAGAGTATTCGCTTCTGAACACATCCCGTTTGCTGAAGATCGGTGATTGAGCCAAAGACGAAATGATCCGCGTGGCCATGTAAGAAACATAAAGGTCGTCATCTCCTACTAGGAGAGCAATGGCGTTAATCGTTGACAGATGATTGAGCAAATGATGATCAAGACTTTGTAAACCTATCGGTCGGCGGAAGGAGGTGGCAGATATACGGGAAGGGTCGGAGAGGGTGAGGAGGAGCACATCGGAAAAGACCAGCTGGATATCCAGAACGCGATACAGGATGCGTAACACTCGTAAGAGAACTTTTGTTGATTGAGTACGTCTTGATTGAGATTGCTGAGAGAGTGTGTCGATGACTCCGACGAGCATGGCAAATATCTCTGGTTGACTGAGGATACGGAGGAGGACGGTAAAGCCTGGCTCTTCAGAGAGAGAAGTGGCAATTTGGCTTATAGCTCGACTACTTGCTTGAGTAAGAAGCTCAGTCATATCAAACGCTTGTAAAGCCTTTTCCATGAAACCAAAGACAGAATCCAGCAACTCCCAGCGTTCATCGTCTCTTGCATATCTTCTAGCTTGAGGCATCAATAACACTCGTTCCAAAACATAGAAAGTTCCACGTCGAAGTGAATTTGCCAGTCGAGGAGTGATTGATCGTGAGAATTCGGTTTCTACGGGAGGGTTTGGAAGGAGGGCAGTCAAGAATCCGAGATATGCACGTGTGAGGGGATAAGTCGTAGCGTCCACTTCGGAATATTCCATTTTAGCTATCCAGCCGATGGGAGCTGGTATTCTTGAACCTTCCATCTGCCTGACGTCAAGGTTGGGATCGACAAAACTGATACGTTCGTAGGCTTCAACAGCTCGACTAATGACTTCATCATCGGCACTATCTCCCGTCCGTCTACAGAAAGCAGTAGCTGCTTCAAGGACAACTGCTTTGAGATGGGTCGGGATATCACAATTGAGAAAGTCGAATAGCATTTGTAAAGGGTGGGGTTTCACTTGCAGCAGAGCCCCTCTGGCAAGTCCTGACCATCGTACGATGGCCACCAGCAATCTCGTCCATCCGGTACAATTGTCAATGTCTTGGTCTGACATGGGGTCCATAGATGTTTGTTTATTGGTCTTGATAGGCTCAAAGATATGAGGCATGATGTCGTGATAGTGGGAGTAAAACTTGAACAATGACGCCAACTGCCATCGAGTCTCTTTCAACCTCTCATAAGCCTTAGCAGCGCTTGCGGGTCCGGTCGAGATGGCTACGAGCAAATCCCAAAATGCTTGTCCGGGATGAACAGATCGAGAGTCTAGCACAGCGCCAGTGAAGGTCGTGTTTGACCACAGATGTTCAGCACTATCCGGTGGCAGAGATCGGTATACGGCAGCAGCGAGAGCCATGTAAGCTTGGAAAACAGCAGTAGGAGCCGTTGCTGCTGACGAACGACGAATGGAAACGTCTTCTTCTTTGTTCCTGAGGTTTCTGAGGAAGTGCTTTTTGCTAGCAAGACAATCGACAAGATGTTGATGTTGAGCGATGATGAAATCGTCATTGGTAGGATCAGAAGCGGTAGCAATCTTTATTAGACTGTCCTCGGCCACCTCTTTGGCTTCATCTCGTTCTTCCAATCCACGTTGTTGTCGGAGATCGATAATGATCTGTCGCGATAGTTGAAACGCATCGCCAAAGACGGCTTCTTGGAGAAAGTGTTCAGCCGCGGGGGGGTCTATCCCAACTTGAGCGACGTCAGGATCGTGTCGTAGAGCGGAGAGATAGAACATGACCCATGTGAGCTTGACGGCTTCTTTGAGCGGCGGTATCGTCCAAGTATCTTGAATCTGCCAACATCAGCCTCAGCCCATCCATGTCAAGCTTGAGTGCTCACCGCAAGGCCGGATGCCAATTTGAGAAAGCGGATGTCTTTGCACCAATCATTGGTAGCTTCCCATCTCACGTCGTTGATGTCGAGAGTGTCCATGGGTTTTGCTGCTGCACATAGTGCACTGTTCATTCAGTCATGATTCGTTAGAAAGAGGTTTACTCACGAAAACACCAATCCAACCAGTCCGTCCACCTTTTCGGCCTTCTTCAACCACTTGAGAACTTTGATGACATGTCCTCTACCTAACAGACCACTTTCAGCAATGATCCCTAATAACCCCACCAGTTTATTCTGCTCCGACCTGATCGCACCTATTCGAAAACTCAAGACTTCGTAGTCTGTAGCATTTCCTGATGGAGTTTTGAGCAGAACATTCAGCTTGTCCTGTAAGACGTCTACTTGGCTCAATATTTGATCGACCATTGTTCCATCTCCCCTCCCTGGCCCTAAAGACGTTTTGATGGTGAGAATGCCTTCGACCCATTCACGGAGAGTATCGAACGGTGCTGTCGTTTCGGCAGAGGGAGATATAGTGAGACGTAAGAGTTCTCGGAGGAAGTTGAGCATATCTGCGAGCCAGGCATGGAGGGCGAATACAGCAACCTCAGCTGATGAGCGAGCGGGGTAGGTAGAACGGAGTGTTTCTGCTTGAACGGTCAAGACGGCAGCGAGAAGTTGAGATATGGAGAGACCGGAAGAAATGGAGTTTGTGATATTAAGCAGGTCACCAGATATGTTTATTGATCCACTTGGGAGAGTGAGAGGATCTACATGATTCAGTTGAACATTTATCATAACATCAGAATGTTGAAGTGAACATACTCTTTTCTACAGCTTGCTTGGCTTCTTCGCTCGGAGGTGGGAGAGAAGTGAGGGCTAGGATCCATGGTTGCGCTTGTTCCAATTTTGAGTAAAGCTGTCTTATGACTGATGTACTTGGGGAGGACAAAACTCGACTCAAGAGATGTTGCAAGTCGGTGAAAAGGGCGTGATCCCAATTGACGAGAGGAAGGGACATTTTGAGTGGGTTGATGAACGATTCCTGGATGTTATTTTGAGAGTACCCCGCCAGACTCTTCTTTTGTGTTCGTGAAATCGTTACTGTCTTTGAATGATGTTCACCTGACCCATGACCATCACCCAGCGTTCAACATTTCAACATTCACGATGAACTTGTGAGAGGTTAGGAAGTGGGTGAATGACGTGGCATTATGTTTTTACAAAAACGCGCCACCCTTATCAGAATTTCCGGTCTGACGCGTTTTCCACAAACAGACAAAGTGGTCGGTCGTCACTCCTTTTTCACTACTCCTCCGTCTCTTTCTCACTCTTTCGTTCTTGTGGCTGCAACTTATACCTTCAATCTATAACATCTCTCACTCTCGCTTCAACGTCATGTCGGCCAAAACCGTAGGTGGAAAAGGTGGGAAATCCAAGACTTCAGCAGAGACCAAAGTCCTCACTACTCGATCGTCAAAGGCTGGTTTACAGGTGTGTTACGAGTGACATTCCATTGAATCTCTCAATCGTTACTCCCACAAGGTTAGAGCTGATTGATAAACAGTTCCCTGTCGGTCGTGTGCACCGGTGAGACCCTACTCATTCTTTAGGTCAACTCATCGAGCATGTACATATAAGAGATGGGGACATAAGAAGGGAGGGAACTGATGTTTCACAGGTTTTTGAGAAACAAGAATGCAAACCACGTCCGTGTAGGAGCTAAAGCGGCGGTTTACGTCGCTGCCATTATGGAGTACCTGACTGCAGAAGTTCTCGAACTTGCAGGCGAGTCGTCTTTCCATGCACTTATGTTTCCCCTACACGATGTCAGCTCGATTGACACATCAGGTAACGCAGCCAAAGATCTACGAGTCAAACGTATCACTCCTCGTCATTTACAACTCGCCATTAGGGGAGACGAAGAGTTGGATCTTTTGATCAGAGCTACTATCGCCGGTGGTGGTGTCATGCCGTATATCCACAAAGTGAGTTTCTTCAACTCTTCCTTCACCATATCGCTGATGTTTCAGGCATTGGTAACGAAGCCCTCCGCTCCGGTGAAAGCGGCCGTAAAGACTGCTTAGATGGAGGTAGAGCGCGGAGAAGTAAGAGGTATGGATGTAGTATGGTGAAAGAGATCAGTGGTTATTCGGGGTATGGAGCAAGAGATACCCACCTTTATTTGTGATTCCCTTAAATGGTCATCTTGTTAAGTTGTGTGAACGGAGCGTGCCGTATTCGTCATGCTAATCTCTCGTATCTTATTCGTCCTACAGGTCTCATGACATTATATTGGAGTGAAGTTTGAGGCTTCATCTGACACACGTTGAACTAATCCTCTCACACGTATCCATGGATCCGTCCCATTCCAAGTCTCCCTTTCGTCAATTATGACCAGATGAGGTGATCCTCGCTGTTGAATAGCAAACGAAGCTCCCACGGCTGCGTAAATACCAGCTGTTGATTAATTGATCAGTGTATCCTCTCTGAGATCTGCCACTCACCAGCTTGCAAATCTCCATCGCTCAATAACAACCCCGCACATAGCCCTCCTAGATACGCATTCCCTCCTCCCGTGGTATCCGCGATCTGACCCTGTTCGTCTTCTCTCCAAAAAGCTGGTGTCCATCCTTCCCAATCATCGGAAATGGTGTAAGCCCCTAACTTCCCAGCTCGGACGATGACCTTCGGGGAGCACCCCATCTCGTCTGCTAAAGCATCACGAAGTTGGCGAGTGACATTCTCGACATCTCTCTTCTCTTCTGTCACGGTAGACGTATTGCCGAAAGGTAACGCAAGGATTGACCGAGCTTCGATCAGGTTAGGGGAGATCATATCGAGATGAGGGGCGATAGTCCTGAAATTCTCCAATTCCGAGGGAACACAAGAGAACTGTAACATCCATCAATTTCCACTTCCGTGGAAGACGATTCATAAGACTCACGCCAAGAGGTTCCCAAACGATCTTAGCTTTCCAATCCTTACCTATCCCATTTATACCCTCCCTACGAATCGATGACATCTCCTCTACGATGGCCTTTGCTCGGAGTGTTCCAGAGACCACGTGGATATACTCTGGTAAATGAGGTTGAGCGAAAGGGGAAGGAGGTAGGATGAGATCTTTAGGAGTGAGATGAAGTTGAGGTGATAAGTATTTGAAAGTTTGATGACCGTCTCTAAAATATCAGTCCCAACATACTTTATGAGCCCTCTCCACTCGACTCGATCTCACAACAGTACGAAGTGGAAGAATGAATATAGGAAAGTCAGACTGGCCCTATCTTATCCCCAGAATAAATGTTCAACGCCCTTGTGGTAGGTCCATCTCTAGCACGAAGCCAGGCCATCTCGCCATAAGCTCGTAACTGAATTTCGAACTCTGAAGGGAAGTCGTATCCTTTATCAACGATGAGACCAACGTGAGTTGGAGGTAAGAACATTCTAGCCGCTATCATAGCTATCCTAAAGTGAGCAGATAAACCCATCATTTGAAGTGACTTCCAGCAAAGACGAGTGAGAAGGATTAGTACATACCATAAGTTCCCCCTCCTCCAATCTTACATCAGTCTAAAACATATAGAAGAATAGAGGGGCGAACTGCAGGTTTGTCCGTTGGTATTCCGTCATCCTGAGAAAGTCGGAAATGATCAATGATAAACATTCCTTCGTGTTAGTCATAGCTTCTGTCGGCCTGTCGGCAGCTTGGAGGTTAATTTGAGAAGTGTGAAATAAAACCCACCTAGACTTGTCACTCTACCTTTTGTTGATAACAAAGATTGAGATGGAGGTCGAAAGCTGTGTGATTTCATGATGTATATTCCATTCCTTACAAGACGAGTTAAGAGTGACTTGTCCTTGAAGTTTTGTTAGTAAGTAGAGGTTAAGGAGGAGAAAGAAAATCTGGATGTAACGTGTGAAATCTTTCTTCTTATTTCTCTTTCACATCATGTCATGAGTCTTTCTTCAAAAGAGAGTATACCCACTCCTATCATCAGCCATCTAACAGAAGAAGACTATGAACATGTATATGAACCTGCAGGTGAGTGATCTCAAGTTCTCCATCATCCATCTTCCTTCTCCCTGTCGACCCTATCGGCATTATTCATTCGACCTTCCATGTTGAGTGGACGTTTCTGTTCCCTGACCCAGACTACTACTACTACTACTACTACTACTACTGATGATGATGATAACTACTGATGGATATCATTACTGGACTTGTACTGACATATCAGAAGACACATTCATTCTCCTTGACGCTCTCGAGGCTGATGCTACGTTTATCCGAGAACGAAACCCGACATTATGTGGGGAAATAGGGTGAGTGTTCACCGACTTTCCGACTTTCCGACTCTCCTTGATGTCTGTCCATTCAGAGAGCTCTCAATTTTTATCCACTGTCGACATGCCCCCGTGGTTTCTATCATTCGTGCTGGAGCTGTTAACTCTCGGGGACGGGACTTGTGCCTTATCCATTCTCTGTCGATTGTCCATATCTTTCCAGGTTGTCATGTGACATAGATGTGAGTCGAGCTGACCTACAAGTTCAGGCTCTGGAATTGTCTCGACTTTTCTATATCATCTCCTAGGACTTTCCACATGTGAGTTCTATCTCTTCCCTTCCTCTCTCAAATTTTCTTCTTCCAACATTCCGTACCCCCAATCTGAGGTATCACACAAAAGACGAGAATCAATACCCTCTATCTCAACCTCGTTCGTCAGTTTGACCACAATTGAACATCAATCGAAATCCGGATCACTTCCCAAGTGAAATGTCTTACCAACAAATCCACTTTTCGTGTTGTAACGGAAACAATGGATTGATAGGTTATTGAACATCTCGACTGACTATCAGACGTTTTATCGACCGACATAAACCTTTATGCATGTTCAACAACGATCCGTACGGCTAAAACCAACTCTGTACCATCTGATCCTATCCTCTGTTCTTTGTTATACCCTTTGAGAGATCGTATATGTGATCAAGTCGACTTATTAATTTTTAACCCTCCTTATGTCCCTACGGATCTCGACGAGTGAGTGTCATACTCCCATTCTTGCCCTTCCCCCATTCCCACTTCCCCCTCCTACCACACACTTCAACTTGGTCCCGTCTCCGTTCATCGTCTCGAAAGTTCAAGAGGTATCCTGGAATAGGAAGCAATCTGTTGGTCCAGGGTAGATGTACTGGAGAAGGAGAGAATACGATGATTGATTACCTTGAAGAGGAAAAAGCTCATGTCAGACTTCAGAATACTCAAATAGAAAAAGATATCGGTGGATCTTGGGCAGGAGGAAAAGCAGGAATGGAAATAACCGATATCATCCTCTCTTCTCTCGATGTGAATTGTCTCATATCGTTCTTTTGAACTACCCTTCTCAAAGATCAGACATCATTGGTTACACTGGGATCAATAGACTAAAATCGTTATCACCAGACTTTAATCTGGTTAGCTGTAAAAGTATGCTAAGATCATATAGCTAAATATCAGGAAATCCTCTCTCCATTAGGAATTTTTTATCTAGTAGCTGTCGAACCTAATGATCCTCCTGCTATCATCAGACGTATGAAGGAAAAAGGATTCGAATCTAGAGTTAGTATTTTGCAATCTTTGATTATCATTCTGACACTCCACATGAATTGTCATTCCATCCTGATGAGTGTTCGTGTATTGTGGTCTATGGACAGTGAAGGTTGGATGAAAATGAAGTATGAGTAAGCATCGTCACGACTGACAAAATAGATCGTCCTTCGACGTAGAGCTGGAAGAGAGTTATTATCTGTATTAAGATTCACCCGATCAGTATGATATCTATCATTTGCATGATTAAACATATTCGCATCGAAGTAGAAAACATTGATATTGGTCAGGATAGAAGAGCAAGGATCTTGGAAATGGAAAGAGCAAAAATTGATGCATATTTTTTCAAATGACATGTGACCGTTTCTCCCCTTCCAGATATCCTAAAAAACCAGAGATTCAATAACCTCTACAACTACTTTCCACACCTTAACTTCCAACCTCCTATATGGATATCTCATACGATAAAGCAAGAAACCACATGATCACAATTCTACCTTGTGTATGTTACGATTTTGACATGGTTCAACACTTTACGATAATCTCATACTTTTCCTAGCTCTTGTAGAACTTCTAGTGGTCCTAGTACCTTCACCTATAGAAGTAGTCGTCACACTTTTGCCTTTACCTTTCTTAGCCGAAGTGAAAGGTGAACCAACAGATTTCTTCGTACTCCTCGGTGTCTTGATTTCCAGCATATGATCTACGTCTGGTGTCTTAGCCTCCTCTTCAACATCCACTTTATCTCCATTTATGTGGTCTATCTCATTCATATCAGGAGGAGGCGATAAACTTCCAGAAGAAAAGAAATCATCCGTTCGTCTTGCGAGTTCATTACCTATCTTTCGTTTGTTTCTACCTTGTTCACCGAAAGTCGCTATCGGTTCTTCTAATGGGGTTGGTAGAGCTTGTTCAGGATTGAGTTGAGCACCAATATTGGACGTGATGTCATGGTCGAAAGGGAGATGTGAAGATTCACCATTCGTTTCAGGTACGAAAGGTTTGTCCGACATACGATCGTCAGTTAATGGTGGTGAAGGAGGAGAAGATTGTTGTCTGTTGTTTAGAAGCGGGATTTCGTATCGGACTTCAGGAGCGTGGAGATGGAGATTATGTAATGGTTGAGAGAAACTTTCGTCCGAATCTACAACGTGTGATCTTCCAGCAAGATTCGAATCAAGGTTGGTACCGGATACCGTTCGAGGTCGAGACCATTCAAGTTGATTATCGTTATCTTCAGAGTCGGAATCTCCTTCGAATGATTCGATAGACCATACTGAATCTCCACCGAGGACGAGAGGTGAATCTTGTGAGTCTTGAGAAGCAGGTCCTGCCAGCCATGGGTGGTCCAACGCTTGAGCCATGGTCATTCTGTCCGAAGGCTTCTTTTCCAGCAGACGGGAGATGAAATCGATGGCTAGACATCAGCTCTGACATCAGCACTCGTACAGCCACGAGCTCACCTCGGTCACTGATACCCCGCTCGAAGAGAAGGTCCACATCGAAGGGCTGAGTGAAACGCGCTCTGATACGCTAAATTATCAGCTAAAAATATGGTCATGATTATCAGCAGACTTACCTCCAATGGTTGATCCCCTTCCTCAGCAAATGGCATGGACTTGGTCAACATACTACCCGTCAGACATACGCCGTGTTGGAGGGAGATTGCCAACCTGTAAACGATGATTCCTATCGACCATGAATCGACCACATTCTCATACCCAGGGTTCCTCTTGTCTTGCATGACAACTTCCGGTGCAAGGTACTGGGGAGTCCCTACAAGAGATGTTAACATGGTTTTCGCATTGACTGTGGTTGTCAGCGCTGTTGGCTTGCACTTTACGATTAGTCGCTTACCCATTTTTGCGAGGCCGAAGTCGGCTATCTTGATGACAACCGGACTGTCTGGTGTTTCTCGCATCAACAGGATATTCTGCGTGATCAGCATTGTCTCACACTGCCAGGGAATGAACGGACGTCCGGTTTCAAATCGCGATGAGCGACACCTCGACTGTGCTACATTATTAGCCCTGTTCTGATGTACCGGCGTTGATACATACCGTGTACGCCATCCCACGACATATTTGTAGAGTCAGCATAGCCGCATGTTCCTCCGCTGAACGTCAGCTTGATCATCAACGACTGTGGACACTCACGCAGACCCATCTCGTTGGGATATTTCAATATATAATCCAGCAGATCTCCTCCATCAATATATTCCAATACTAGACATATATGTTGTGGATCTTCAAACCACTCGATCAGCCGACATAGGTTCTCCTGCGCGGTGTCAGTCGTAGCCACTACGTACAATCGAACGAACGAACATGATGTAAAGAGCTGGTGATTTCTATCTCCCGTCGACAGAGATCCAAGGCTTTCGGATCTGTTTGAAACCGGTGTTTGACGATTTGCTTGTCATCAGCCTCGCAAAGTCCCAGTACATGTGACCTACCTTGATGGCTCGTAGATCGCCTGTCTCCACATCAACAGCTTTGCGAACTTCCCCGAATGATCCCTTTCCAAGTCTGTTCATCAGTCACAGGCGTGAAACTGGAGAAGCCGACGTACTGATTTAGTATCTGGTACCGTTCATACACCTCTCCAACCAACTGAGGCCCATTGGGTCCTCCTGTCCTGGAACCCTTGGGACCGACCGAACGGTAAATATACCTCACATCGTGATTTTCCAATGTTCCTGCACATCCCAACGATACTTCGTCCCCATGTTGTAGCAACCGACGAGTGGTAATTCTCAGTCCATTCACCTTCGTCGTCAGTCACTTTCTGGGGAGAAACGGATGATATGAGCTCACAAAAGTACCATTACTACTCCCAAGATCCTCTATCCAAACTTCCGGATCCGTCTCTCCATCTTTCCATTGCTGCACGCTGTTAACGGACGTTCCACTCCCGTTAACTCCCTGATTTCCCAAAGTCACACGACAGTGACGGTTGGATATCCTCTTCTCGGGCAGAACAACGTCATTACCGGCTATACCATGTGGTCCTCGACCTATCTGAAGGAAAGACTTTGTCCAGGGGATTTTGAGAATGGAGTGAGCGTCGTTGGTGGAAATGAAGATTGCCCCTGGGATGTTAGGACGGATCACAGGGTTACTGATATCTCAAGAGAAAAGTGAGGAAACGAGGAGACGGAAAAGCTCACAGTACTTGCGCCTAGGCTCTACTTGAGAGTTGTAGAACGTGCCTTGTGTATTTTGAGTCTGTGAAAAGACAGGTTGTGATAATTGAGTAGCTTCGTAGACATAGTCGTTCCTCTGGGAATAAGGTAGTGATTCGAGAGGGAGAGAGTCGGGGAAGGGGGTGTATGCCATGATTTATTTTGCGGTTGAGAATGAAGAACGAGGTAACGTTGAACGACTCGGAGGCAGAGAGGTAAATCAACGCGAGAAGGGGTTGAGTGGCCGTCGGCGTCGCAGGGAGTGGGAAGGGGGTTGACGATGGGTGGGAAGACAAACTGTGTTAGGGTATAAGATATGACCAAGATGAGCTGAGAGGGACAGATGAAAAGTGGAGAAGAAGGGATAGTGGTAGAGGAGGAAGAGGTGAAGAGGAGAGTGGTTAGAGAGAGTGATATGGTACTACTACTACCAAAGATTGCGCAGGAGGTCCGAGCGCGTCTCAGCCTAGCACATGGTTCTTTTTACCTCCGCCAAAAGCCGATACTCACTCACTGCTCCGTCTCGTCATTCTTCCTTGTCCTATCACACTTGGCACTGGAACACTTGTCCACACCCTCACACTATCCAACGACCAGACAAGTATCTCACAACGTAGACATGGAGCAAGCTCCGAATTTGATCACTTCAGCTTTGGTGGCTTCTCCTTCGGGCCCTCCTTCCCCTACCCCGGACAAGGGCCCTGCTACTTCATCTGATCTTTCCACAGCTCCCCCCAACCATCCCGAGGCTGCACAAAGTGACCAAGTACCTACACATCCTCCCGAGGGCAACTCCGTTACCGACCCAACCGACAGTTCATCTTGGACCACGGTCGAACGGGCGTTTCAACATGGTCTCGACCGTGAGAACTTTGAACAAGAGGTCGGACAAGTCATGGGTACTTTCAATAACTGGTGGGGCGGTGTTAAGAAACAGGTGAGAGAGTTACTCCTTCTTCCAAGTTTCTCTTTTAGTCTTTCAATCTGCAAGTTCGCAATCAAGATGTTCATTGTAATTCACTGACGTATCAGTCTGCATCTGCTCTTCAGATAATCAAAGCCGATATCGACAAAACCATCACTGTCGCTCAACAAGACTTGGAATATTTACGTGGTGCAAAAGTCGAAGTGATACGTAAAGATTCCTCCGAAATCCGAGCGGAAAGAGAGGAACGAGTGTCCAAATCTGAATCTGAAGACAAGGGTAAGGGTAAAGAAGGAGAAGGAGAACAATCATCACCTAAATCAGAAGATACATCGAAACTACTTTCAACATCGGCTAGCTCTTTGTTCAATAGACTTTCTATATCAGCCTCGCAAATCCAATCCACACTGCAATCCACAATCTCATCAGCAACTACTAATCCTACACTTTCAAACCCTTCTCAACTCCGTGCACAATTGGCAGAAAACCTTCGACTTTCATCAGCTCGTCAGAATCTTCAATTATCGATGAAACAAGCGGAAAAATTAGCAGAAGAATATTTGAAAAAAGGTGATCAATGGGTTAAAGATGCGGAGAAATGGATGGAAGAAGCTGTAAAGATCGTACCACCCGAATCGGATAGAATGGTGGGTATGAGTTGGGATGGAAGTGATTTTTATTCATTTTCCACTTCTAATACCAATACTCCTAGACAGAATCAGAATGTGATGTTTGATTCGAGAGATAAAACTCCTAGAAATTCAATGTCAGGTGTTGTTTTGGCTGGAAGTAGGAAAGAAGCTTTGTTAAGGAGGTTGAGGGAGGATAAAGATTTATTGTTGGTCGATCCGGAAGGAGAAGGGGAGTCAATGGAGAGGAAAGAAGAATTTAGGAAATGGGTCGAAGAGGATTGGGAGAAGGAAGGATCGAAAGGAAGGGAAGAAGAGGAAGGTCATGTGGGTGGGGTTAGAATGGCTTTGGGTGAGTTACAAGTTTCCTTCTCTTCCTCTTACAGTACCCGAAACTAATGTGTAGTGCCTGAACAGCTTACGGATGAACAATTCTGGCAAAGATATCTTTTCCACAAACATATGATCGAAGCGGAAGATGAGAAACGTAAAAAGTTACTTCAGGGTGGGTAATTCTCATCGGCCTTATATCATCCATTCCCACCACATAATTCCCAACTTCTATCTCACTTTTTGTTCTCGATCACAAGATCCGAATCGAAGTGGTATAAGGGTAGCCATCTCAGATAGACATGACTAGATATGCGTACTTGACCTAACACACGCATGAGGACAACAAGTATGTCACGATACAACTAAGAAGGAGCGAAAGGGGATGAATATGGCAGGTCGAACATGACTAACCATTAGCTTCTCAGCAAGTTCAAGAAGATTTCTCATGGGACGACGAAACGGACGAAACTCCCCCTTCTTCAGCTCCATTAGCACAATCCACTTCTACCCTCAAACCTCATCCTTCTCCCAAGAAAAACCTCCATTCCACGCAGACGGAAGACCTACCCACTCCCAAACCTCAACTCAGCACCACCATCCCCGCCCACGTTCAAGTCTCTGTCAAATCGGGCACTTCCACACAGACCAGTCCACGTGATTCAGAGGAAAGTTATGATCTCGTCAGTGATCAAGGTCAAAAACCCAAGCCTCCTGTAGAAGATGAGGAATCGGATTGGGAATGATGTTTTGAGAGTATCTTTAATGAGGAGATAGGATTTTCGTACGGAGATAGTCAAGATTGGAAGATACGATTTGTAAGTAGGTTGTAAGTTGCCATGTTGATATGCTTTTGACGTTGGGATTGTGCACAAATACATATATATATATATATGAGAGAAAGACAGGTTCGAGAGGAGATATGTATGATATTTGACCCAACGTTTCTTCTCTTTTCATATCGCTTTGATAACATTTGACCTTGTACACACGCCACCCATAAGCAATTGAGATACGATCTTTGTCCTGACTGTGTGATTCATACTGATTACATCCAATCCTAAAACTGTTTCCGTATCCTTATCGACCGTAATATTGTTGCCCGTTATATTGCGGATTGACGGGTTGACGAGGTTGAGGAGTATAAGGATTAGGTTGGATTTGTTGTTGACCATAAGGGTTGTATTGTTGTTGTTGAGGTGGTTGATTGTATGCATTTTGACCATTTTGATTGTATTGTTGTTGTGGAGCATAAGGTGAAACTCTACCATATGTTTGCTATTCATCAACATCTTTCATGTTCAATAAATGTCATGATGGAGAGAAGAGAGGAGAAGAGAAGAGAGAAAAGAAAAGAGAAGGGAAGAGACAAGAAGAGAGAGTACAACTGGTGGGAAAACTCACCCCTTGTGTCTGTTGCAACCTCAATTCTTCACCCGAAATGACATAAGGATTATTATTATTAGAATTCTGTTGTCGAGTGGAACCCAATTGACCGAAATTCGGTGATAAACCAGATTGAGGAGTAGGTAAAGCGTCCATCCCACTATTACCAGGTCTGGGAGGTGGAGCGACACTAGGTACTGGAGGTCTAGTAGGACGTGAATTTATCGAAAGCTTTTGAGATTTAGATCTAGTGTTGGTGGCTGCTTCTGATGGTTGAGCATCACGAGGAACTACATCACCATGATAATCTGGATCTTGTTGTTCTGCTTGACGTGATCTTTTCAAAGCTCTTTGTTCACGAGGATCAATTTCATCACCTTGATATTCCTCAGCTGCCGCTCTTTCTCCTGCGACCGTACGACGTGGTACGGAATTGATGAAAGCGTGTAAGTCATTCATGACTCTACCATTGGCTCGTATGTCAATGTATTTGTTCCTGATCGTTTGACGTAGTTGACCGACGGTCTTGGCGAGGGAAGCGGTGGAGAGATAACCCATACGGGAAAAGATGAGGTAGATTATGAAATGAAATTCTGTTGGTTAGCCTTGATTTCAAATGTATAAAAGGTGAATAGAGGAGATAAGGAAAAAAGGGAGGGAAGGAGGGAAGGATCAATAGAGAGATTGACAAATGTGAAATGATGCAGGAAAGGTATCAGATTGTCATATTGACACAAGAAGATCAATGTGTGGGAAATCATGGTGAATTTTGAAGTACAGAAGACCCAGCAGGGAAAGGAGGGGAATGAAAGGAGGAATCATGGTTGAACATGAGGGGAGTAAACCAGGCATAGTAGTGGAGCAAATCAAGTGGTGTAACTAAGGTATGAGGGAAGTTTTAAGCCAACCCCAAGGAGGATGAAAAAGACATGCTCAACATGCTGATTAGGGTGGAGGTGAAGCAGGGAAGGATAGGAGAATCAGACCAGTGATAACATAGAAGTAGATGGAGAAAGCATGATGAAGCAGTCCCTAGTTGCACTATGGAAACAAGGAGGGGAATGCCTAGAAAAAGGCAGGACAGCTCAGGCAGAGCAGAGGGTTTGAGAAGCTGGAAATTGAGGAACATGGTCTGTACATGTACATAGATGGGAACAAGGATTGAGACAAAGGAGCAGGTATGAAGTTTTGTAGAGGGTACAGAAAGGTGGTAAAGGGACAGGACATACCAACAGGAGCTATACGCGGTTGCTTGACCGTCCCGATTGATTCATTATAGTGATTGTACGCAATGTCGACCATGAGAGAAAGAGCCATCTCCACCTTCTTGCGGAAGACAGGAGGGGGCTGTTGATGTCAATTTCATTCCATGGAACAATCATATTGTGGGATGATAAGGTGAACTTCACTATTGTGTGTAGGGGAGGAGAAAAGTTCAAACTACTTACAGGATCTTTACGTTCCAAGAATTGATGCATCTTAATAGCCGTAGGAGCTTTATCTTGTCCGTAACAGAGCATAACGATAGCAACGAGGTTTTGGAATGCTCGACCACGGGAAGTATCCATTTCGACTTTTGGACGATTGAGAGTATTAGGTTCGGTAATGTATTTCTTCTGAAGTTCGAGTATCCAAGCGCTCCATGGACCTGGAATAGCTTGAAGTTTCTCAGCGGCAGATAAAGCCATACCGAGTTGTACCCGTTCTGTGAGTTAGTTCCGGTACATCCTCACACGTCGTGTCGTTGTCAACACAAGTCTCGGATCGTGTAGAAGATGAAGTTGAGAGGTTGAAGGAGAGATCGCGAAGGTGAAGAAGATACAAAAGCGAGGGATCAGTATGGGGACTCACGGAAGATATCCCTTTGCATGTCCTCTGGGAGATTATCATATTCGACCACTTGGAGAACAATCTGATCAAATCGTCTTCTGAGTGCCTCCGGGAGTAACTTGTGTCTTGGATTTCCGTAATTGGTGTACCAATATTTTTGTTTACTCTTAGGAGCGAGGAAGGGAATTTCACCGTTCATGAATCTTGCGATGGAGGAACAACGTTGTTTGCCGTCGATACAGACGCGTGTCTCGGACTGTTCCTGTACGTTGGCATTGACGGAGAAGACGATTGGGGGGATGTAATAATTCTGAACAGTCAGTCGACGTCCACCCCCGGCTTTAGTCATCTCGTCTTTCCTCAAACACTCGGGTCAATCGGAACGCGAAGCCAAAGAGAAGGGTGAAGCGACAGCAAGACAGATGTCCGGGAATCAGGAAATGTCAAAAGGAGATTGGTGATTAACCCAATAGAGTCTCATTATAAGGAGAGAGAATGGGAGGAAAGATTCAAGAGAAGACCTTGATAACTCACCATGAAAAGAGACTGAATCAAACCGATCATCTTGAGTTCTGACCAGACCACCTCTCGCTGATAAGCCGGGTCAAGTTCCACTCCACCCGTATGGATCAGATCTATTCATCAGCGTTATCCTCTTTTCCCACTCATGTAACCGTCTGTCCAGTTCACATGTGAAACGCTCCCGACGACTTAAAGTAAGGTCTGAACAAAACAGACGATCTCTTCGCGACTCGGACAGTGATCTCGGATGAATTCATAAAGTTCAAGTGAAAGAGTTAGGAGTAGAAACAATGGTTTGTAGATGATTCTCATGCAATGATAAAGGAGAATTAAAACTCACCATGAATATGTTTAAGATTATAAGTTGTATGAATAGGTCTTTTCAATGCCCCTTGTAAAATAGAAGTAACATCTTCATTCCTTTCAATATCCTCATCTTCTTCTTCTTCACTCATCAATTGATCAAGAAAATCATCATCGTCATCCTCGGAAAGTTCTCGTTTGACCGGAGCCATCTCAAATCGATACGCGTAATGTATCTATGACCGATGACGAATGATAAGAATAACAAGAAACCAGAAGGAGAATGTGAGTAAGATAATGTTAAGGATGAAATTTTGGAAGGATGTCTTTATGTTTTTTTTTCAAAGTGGGACAGTGGACTTCTAAAGTGGAGGTCAACTTGTGAGAGTTCCTTTGACAATCTTTTGATCAACTTACATGTATTCCAATGTTTTGAGTGGCAAATCTCACCACTTGGATACCAAAAGTATTCAAGATAAATTATGGTGGTGCATGTATTGAAAGAGGTTGTGACTAGTCAAGTTAGAGATTTGAATGGTGGTAATGGTATTGGTGATGGTGGTTGTTGTTGAAAGGTGGAAGTTTGTGTGGGAAAAGAAGAAAAGTAGAGTAAGAATGGTGAGGTGGGAAAAAGAAGAAAAAGACAAACTTCAAAGGGGTTTATATCCTTTATTTGCCACTATTCACAAAAAGGAGAATTTGAAATAATTCACACACCCAAACACTAAAAAGTCACACTTCCCCTTCCAGGGTATAGGGTACTCAGGGTTTTTTCTCACTGCTTTTGAAGGGTCATGCTTGCTTTTGGGGGACATGCTTGGATTGACTGACTGTCTCATATCAATCAATTACCTCATAGGGTAAATTTGACCTCTATTTTCTCACACTAAACAACACATATGACCATTTCAGGTAGTACGCACGTCTTGAAAACGTCGTAATCGACCGGAAGCGAGGTGAGGGATCTAAAAATGAGGGAATGGGCAGGGAAGTAGCTTGGAAACTTTGTCCTCAAATGACCCCATCATGGTAGGAGATTGAGGGTGGAGAGTATGTAATACATGATGCATCCCTTTCTCACAAGTGAAGCATGCAACAGCAACATGCAGCATGTGCAACCAGATGAGAAGTGGACAGGGATCATAGACACTATCTCAAGATGCATCACACATAAGATTCAGGAGTGCAAAATGGGTGGGGGGATAAGAGTACGACGTCTAGAGAATCATTCCGCTGAGCCGCTGACCGGTCATTGATACCACGATCATCATGGTACAATAGCCAACGGGGACAAATCCTATCGAAAGTTTCTCCTGCCCTTTTGGTTCTTCTAGCCATGGATTCATAACCTCATGGTTCAGAGCGCCTTTGAGGGTCACGAGGGTTTCAAAATCCACAAAATCGCTTACGAGGAGTATCTGACCCTTCACCATTCCTCGGGTTCATCCACCCACTCCCCTTTCCTCCTCAACTCTCTCTCCATCCCTCTGACCACTCTATATCCCTTCCATCTCGACTCTACTCCATCCTTATCATTCCTCTTAACCCCCAACTCGCGTCTTAAATCTCCAACTCCTTGCTCCCATCTCTTCTCCCAATAAACACTGACCAGGCTCCTGCCATTCGCACCTGTACGTAAAGCCCACGGCACCCAATCACGTTTCCACACCTCTCGTCTTTGCGAAGATAACCTCAAAGGACCGAAGAGGGAAGAAAGAGCGGCTACGGGTAGAGACATGTTGGACAATTCGACAACTTTGAGTGTGAGCTCGTGTGGTAAAGTAGTGGGAAGGGAAAAGAGGGTGTGATAGAGATCATGAGTTTGACGATAACGGGTCATGGTGTATGCTAGAGTGGGTGAATCTATGTATCGGACCTGTCATCAGTATCTGTGCACTTCTATTTGTTTCTGCTGATGCTCCCTCCTTCAGTTTCCACCTTTGCGTTTTGCTCTTGAATCCCGACTGCAAGAGCTATGGGAACGAGCATAGCCTGCAGTGCAGTGAACCAGGAATGACAACCGAGAAACACAACCTCACGACTCACCACCTCTCGAGTATCCGGAGTGACATTTTGTTTCTCCAACCATTCCACGTATTCCCTTCCCAAAGTTCCCCTTCTCAACGCCTTCAAAGCTTCCAAGTTCACAGTGGAAGACGACACCAGAGGTCTATCCCGCATGATCTGTCGTCCTTCAGCATGAGAAACCATGGTATTGTGTAATCGAGGAAGGAATGTCGACGCCGTCGATTCGGACAATGTGGCAATTAAATCTGTAATATCAGTCTTGCGTGCGTTTCTGCGCAGACGGGTCGACTCACCGCCGCGGGACGTATCCATCACTCCCATTATACCACTTCCCACTGCCAACAATGCATTTTGAGCGAACGAGAGGGGTACATGACCTGGGTACAGGGGTGTGGAAGAAGATTGTCGGATTTGACATAAAGTATGCCCGACACCTAGGGCAAGAGCAGGGACCATCGTTCTCGATGATTTCGCCCAACGAGTGGATTGGATGGAAAGCTTGCTTCGTGTGGCAAAGACGATGAAAGCCATTGCTGGTGAAGGCTCCAAACCTGGATGGTGTGGGTGAGAACGGTCAGAACCGGTCGGACTCTCATGTGGTGAAGGAATCGGTCGTAACGGACCACGAGCACTGCTGATCCTGTACAACCCAGGTGAAGGACTGTTTCTTCCGTATTGAGATGGCGGACTAAGCGGTCCACCAAACCCGTTCGCAGGTGCCGACAGGGGTATTGTTGGAGGTGTACCAGGAGCAGATCTAGGTAACATGATAGGACTCGAATCTCTCTTTCCGATCGATGACCCGCTCGTACGTCTTGCAGAATTACTCAGCAACAGCGGACGAGGGAGGGGACTAGTCTGTAAACTTGAAGGACGGCCGGTGGAAAGACGAGGGGAGAATGCGCTTCCGAGAGAGGCGAGACGTTCTTGTAAGGAAGCGACTGACATGGAGGATGAGACCGTATCGCTTCTACCTCTCTCACGTGAAGAGCTCATCACCGCCTCGATGGATGGATGCTTGGTTATGGGAGGTGAGAATCCCGCAGTCATTGGCAATTGATGTCGATGACTTCGTGGTGTGGACGGGGGAGAGGAATCATGCTGCTGTGGCGTCGCTGTGGTTGTCGCCTTCGAAAAGAAACGGCTGGCGACACCTCCTATACTACCGATCGCGGATTGCGCACTGGCCAAAGGTAAGAGTGAACTCAACGATGGTGTACTCTTCATGCTCGAAGTTTCTTCGTCTTGACCGTTAACATGTCCGTTGCTCTTGGTCGAGACGTATTTCGACAACCTTGACGCAGATCCAGCACCGATATTGACATTCCGCGCCTTGTCCGCCAACCAAGTCCAACTTGAACTGCTCGTCATTCCATTTGATTGATTCCAGAAACCGTCAGGATCATCACCAGTGAGGTCGGCGATGAGACGAGCGTCTCTGATCTGAGTTGCTACTCTCATGACGACCTCCAACCCTCCTACGTCGACAAGGGGATAGGTAGTGAACATATTCAAACCTCTTTCGTAGATCGCCTGTCGTTCGGAGGGATCCGTCCATTCAGGTTCAGGGTCTTCGAGACCGCTTTCTCCCCATAATCCGGCTGATCCAGGTTTCGTCGGTCGAAAGTTCGGTGGTGGCACAGTGATATTTGATGTTGGAGCTCGGGAAATAGCATCCTTGCTGGCCAATACGAGAGCAGCGGCGATATCAATCATTGCGTCAGCTCTGGGTTGTGATTCGGCGTCAGTGGGCTTTTCCGAAAGGATAAATTCCCATAGACGAGGTAAAGCTGAACCGGGGAGTAGTCGGGTGAACATGGAAGACCACCAGTGACTGGGATAAGAAGTCGTGAAGGGATCTAGGTTGTTGGTACGTAGGAACCTGGCGAATGCTCCGTCCGCCCATCTGATCCTGCTATCCAGCTTACTGAGAGCGCCACGCAGCTCTTCAGGTATGTCCGGAAGACCCATGGTCGTCCTCTCAGACATCAGAGAAGTGAATGCCCAGAAGGTTTGTTCTTCAGCATAAGGTAGAGTTTCCTCCGATTCCGTGTATCTGCGTCTTCCTTTGATACGCAACGGTCGGTGAGGGAGATCGATTCCGCAGTAGATAAGATAGAGGGGGTGGAGAATGTCGACAAGTGTGGTTGAAAAGGTAATGTGAGGATGTGCTCGACAGAAGATATACATCACACGTGTGAGAATCTCGGCGTGGGTGTCAGGTTGAAGGAGTGAACCGGATAGGAAAGAGTTGGGTGATTGTCCAGGTGCGGGGATGGGTTTAGGTGATACGAGAGTGATGGGAGATGACGGAGAGGTAGACGATGAACCGGATCCTTCTGGCGATACGGACAGGGCGAGCTTGGCGGGGCGCAGCGAGTGGAGTCTTTCTGACCCCAGATTGGACGTGTCGAAAGAAAGAGGTCTGAACTGATCTTCGCTTTCTGAGGATGAAAGAGTGATACGAGGGGATAAGTTGATTTCTGGGTTGGAAACGTATTCTCCCGTTTCGATGCCGGTGGATCTGAGATCGTCATTTGATTTGAGAGCGCCCTCATCAACTTTTCGTGGTTCAGTGGTGCTGGTCCTTTTGTCTGCTTTCCTATTGTGCTCCGACTTAGCTATCGTATCGGCTCTGATGAATACTGCTCGACGACAGACAAGACGTTCGACCTGTCTCCTCTTGCCTTTGAGAGGTTTATCTTCCTTCGCCCTGGATGTAGCCTCATCCTCACTAGATGTGACGGAAGAAGAAGATCCGTCATCGTCCAGTGTAGGAGGCTGAGCTGTGGTTGGGCTATCCGAAGTTGGAGGTCCTAAAGGAGATGAACGGAGTGTTGCTCCCCGAGTGCGTAAAAGGGGATTGGCCGACTGCAGCTTATCTATCTCAGTTACGATCGCGGAGATGAGATCGTCGTGGGGCGTTAAGGGATATGAAGGCTATTGTTCAGTATAGTGTTTCCTCATGAGGAGTGATTTGAGCATGTACTGACTTTGGGAGTAGCCTCCAGATCTTCCATGAACTGGCGTACTAATGCCTGAAATATCAGCTCCACCTCATGAGACCGGGGAACATCGTCGAGATGGAAAAAGTCCGGACATACGTAATATCTCTCTCTTTGTCGACGTGAAGCCACCCTCCATGCTCGTTTGGCAGGAGGAAGAGTCTCGAGCAACAATGAATAAGCGAGTGGTCTTAAATGTCGAGGTTGATCCGGTACGCCTGGGGTCAATCTCCCGCTGAGAAGCTCGATTGATAAATGGGCATATGATGGATGGTGGCTCATGGCTCACCTCTGGCGCACAGACGTCGAAGGGTTGATATCTCTACCAGTTGTTCGGATGCTTCACGAGAGCCATCTAGTAACGCTTCGAATGCCAATCGTCTGTACGTGTGAGCTACTCGTACTACCCACCCATCACATGGGGCGCGACGAGGCTCACCTGACCAAAGATTCCTCTTGCTCGAGGTCCATCGTGAGCTTGTTTTCTGAAGGATATAGTCGACTTTGGGTTAATATAGACGTCTCATGTAGATCCAGAGATGAATGAATGCTATAGATGACAATGAGAGTTGACGTTGAAGAGGACGAGCTGTATCTGTGTGTGTGTCTCTGTCCACTTTGGGGTAAGTTGCAGTTGCCTAATGCGCTAAGAAGGGAGACAACGTGGTAACCGCGTGGAATGAGCACACGTGATGACCGGATGAACCATAGCCGGGTCCCCCTCTCTTACTACGAGTTCCTACTCTTCGATTCGACTTGTACTCGTACTCTACACATGTCATGCCCCCTCATCCTCCATCTTCATTCATAACACATCCAGCATATCATGTACAACACCTCTCAGGTACTCGCTCCCTCTCTACTTGGTCGTGCCAACGTCACTTCACTGCTCACCGACAGCGTTTTCCTCTTCCCCCCTCCCGACTCGACTCCGGCTTCTGCTCAAACTTCCCCTCACGAGTACATGTGCATACCACCCCTAAACGCCTGATTCACTCATTAGATCCTTCCAGTCCATCTACAACCCTAGCTTTCTCCTCCATTTCTATCGAAATTCATCCAACTTGCCTCCTTATCGACGATGGACACAACCGAGCTCCCATCTCATTTTCCCGTCTTCGAGACGCATGTTCATGTCCTCAGTGCAAACATCCCTCCACCCGTCAAAAAACACTTACCCCCGGAACATCCCATCATCTCTCTCAGCTGCCCCCTTCCGTCCTCCAGCCTTCTTCCCAGCTTATAAAACTTGAATGGCGAGACGGACATGTCTCCTCTTTTTCACCTTCCGACTTATCCGCTCTCCTTCAACCTCCAGGACGAGAGGCACAGAGCGTTTATCTCACTTCGACACTTCGTAGACGGACATGGGACCGTGAAAACTTGGTTAACGAAAGTGATCATCTTCGAATCTCATCTGCGGATCTGCTTCCAGCAGGAATCGTGAATGAGGAGGTTTTGTTGAAGATGTTGGAACAGGTTCAAATCTGGGGATTGGTCATTCTTACTGGGGTACCCACGGATAAAACGGATAATAAGGAATGTGAACTACGGAGAGTTGCTGAGATGATAGGAGAGATAAGAAATACGTTTTACGGAGAAACTTGGGATGTCAAAAACGTAGCAGATGCTAGGAATGTGGCTTATACCAATTTCAACTTGGGGTTACACATGGATTTACTGTGAGTTGGTTGTATTTCACCACATCATCATCTTTTAACTACTTTCTATCTTTATCTACGACCCCTATTTCTCCTTCGTATGGAACGAAATCTAATGAGACAACCTGACATCATCCTCTCTGCCAACTCTCAGTTCAGTATCTTGAGTGAACAATTTCGAACTGTTGGATAGGGAAATGTGTCATTGATACGAATTCAAATCGTAACGCTCTCTCATGTGAGGGTGTCTCACTGACTCACCAGCTATTTCTCCTCTCCACCGCGATTCCAACTCCTTCATTGTCTTCGATCCCGAGTACAAGGTGGTGAATCCTATTTTGTCGATTCCTTCCGAGCCTTGTCACATCCTTCACTCTCTACACATTACCATACTCTGACACAAGACTTAACATACGAATATGATAATGATGGACATTATCTTCAATGTTCTCATCCTATCCTTCCTTCTTCCCCCACGTCGGCTCTGACGGATTTAAGAGCTGCGGTAAATTGGAGTCCTCCATTTCAAGCTCGACCATCTGCTCTTACCCCTCCTCTGATCAGCTCGAAAATTCCTTTTGGTTCAAGTGCTTCTTCTTTATCACATTTATCATCATCCAAAACTGACACATCCTCTGAACAACAAGATAGACAGACAAAAGAGGGACAGGAAAAAGTTGATGGAGGATTGATGGCAATGATACAAAAAGAAGAAGATTTTTATTCAGCTTTATCAACTTGGGAACAAGTTTTATCCCTTCCGGAACTCAAATATTCTTTCCTCTTATCAGAAGGTGATCTGGTGTTATTTGATAATAGACGAGTGTTACATGCTCGTACTGCTTTTCGTGATTATACACCGGAAGAACGTCGGAGTAAAGGGGTAGAGGTGAAAGAAGGAGAAACGAGTAGATGGTTGAAGGGATGTTATATTGATGGTGATGTGGTTTGGGATAAACTGGTTACTTTGAATAAGAAGTTGAGGGATAGGACGTGATTACCATTAATGACTCATCATGTACAAGAAAGAATTGAAAGGGAGATCATTTCATCTACTTTAGAGTACTGACTGGTCTTTTTGACCTTGCTTCCATGATGCAGCTCAGATGTAAATAATCATGATAATGGTACACCTCGACTTTTTATGATGATACATGGATTGTAAGAGCTCATCCTGACACACTGAACAATGAAAATTTGGGTTTGGAAAGTATGGTCATATTGATTGCTACAAGAAAATGGGTTTGAACGAGTGATGAGTAATGATCAAGGGATTGTTAAACCCTCATGCATGTCCATTGTATTTTCTCATCATGTCAACCTGTGATAACATCGGTGGTGCGGGATGTGATTCAGACATATGACACCACTCACTCATCCTATCAACGGAATCATCATGAATCATAATGAATGTCCTGAAAGAGAAAAGCGTGTAAAATGGTATATGTATATATGTATGAATCCCAACATCTTCATTCCTTTCTTTTCATATACAACAAAAAGAAACCCCTTTGTTCATCATCTATACAATACCTTCTTTTCTCTCTTGTGATATTTCCCTTCTTACTTTCTTTTCACCTGATGAAGAACTTATTCTCCCCATACCTGACTCTGAAATTTGAGCGGGGTCGGAAAGAGGGACGATCCTTGTTCTTTCTTTCATCTCTGGTTCTGGACTTGATTCTGGTGTTTCGCCGACTGGCGCTTCTGTCACTATTGGTTCATTGGGTCTTAGACCTTCTGGTCTCAAAGCGGGATTACCACCTCTCATGACTGATAATAGGAAATTGAGGAATCGTTGACCGTACGTTACTGGTTCGACACATGATATAGTGTGCTGCTTTATCAGCGAGGTTCTCTATTTCATTTTACACCATTTCCCCAACAAAAAACGAATCATTCTTATTGCGAACATAAGGAAAAAGGCTGATTGTCGTGTGACAGTTTTGTACACTGTCACATGATATGGGAGCGTGAGATGAAGAAGACGTTCTCTTCACTTGAACGGAGTTATGATTATTTAAGCAAGATCATGGATAATTGTGGAGAATATTTCGACAAGTGGAGTAATTGTGGATGTCTTAAGATAAGAGATAAATCACAAATCGACTCACCCGATCTTCGGTCATACTTTTCCAAAAATGTTCCAACTTCTTCACAGTATTATAAGGTGTACAAATATCGATAACACCCAAATAATAAATAACGTCCATATCTTGATTTTGCTCATCCGTCGCACGCAAACCACCTTCATCTTGATAGAACAAAAAGTGACTTCTGTCCGTCGGCATAGGAGGAAGTTGAGATGCCACATCGAGCATTTTAGGATCGGAACTTCTGACGGCTTTACGAACGTTTGAAGCATCTGAAGGACCTTTGGCGTTGGAAGCTTTACGTCGGGCTGTGACATCGGGCTGGAAAGTCAATCCAAGATGTCCATTACCTACCGTTTTCCAAGCGTTCGAGACTACCACCAGAATGAGATACGACGCAGGCATCAATGACAAAAAGCAGGCAGTAGAGAGACACAAGGACATTGGGATGATGATGATGAAATGGTGAAGAAGCAGATTATAGGACTCACGTGGAAGACTGTAAGTTGATTCTCTCGTAAATTATCCTTGTTCCCCCTTTCCATATTATGTATCCCCACCAACAAACTATAATCCATGACCTTCATAGATTTCAAAAAGTCCATATCCCTTTTCAGCTGTTCTGACAACAACGCCCTCTTTTCCGGTCCTAACTCCAATGATCTACCCCTGTTCACCCAATTCTTATCTTTCAATACCGCCCGAGGGTTCTTCGCCGCCTTTTCTTCAGGATATTCACGACCAAAAGCAGAACCTTTTAGATCGTATGTCTCGTGAACATCCCTGTGGGGAGGGAATAGATTGTTCATGATTACAAAATGAATCTTCCTTCCTCGGGGCAGTTTCACACGATGGAGACCGTAAAACCTAGACAACAAGGTATGAGGATTGGCCTTGACATGAGCGTGATAGTCGAATAGAATCGAACGGAGGAATTTGTGTTCTGAATGAGAAATGGTCTTGATGATGAACCGGTAATCACGTGAGAAATAGAAGAATGAACCGGATTTTCCTGGAGAGCCAAGCTCGGAAAGAATGTATTTTGCAGTGAGAGAAAGGAGGTAGTCGGCAGGATCAAGATGGAAATGTTCGTCTCGTAATTCTCGAAATACCCATGGAGCGTAATCTTTGAATTTGAAATCGTATCTTGCAGAAGGAGTGAGTTCATTGCCGACACTGCAAAGGTCAGCAAACAGCACAAGAATGCCAAAACTTCCACTCGCATGTCAAAGGAAAATTTGTGACGAGCGGTGTAATCTTCAGCTGTCAGGGGCCGTTTTATCTTGGCCTGACATCTAGACACCTGTATTGTCAGCTCTGAGAGAATGAAGCAAAGTCTCGAGCTTACGCCAATCCGTATTCCTGTCAACATGTTGTACATGAGCACATAGTTGACATGATCCTCTCCGATTAGGTTACCAACCAGCACTCTAGCTTCTTCTTTATCCTTGTGCTTAGTCGTGACAATCGGTGCTGAGGGCTTTTCCATCGACTCAGCCCCTGGAGCACCCACTTCTGCATGTTCCTTGGCACTAGCTTTCTTCTGTCGTCTTTCTAGTCGTTCTCGTCGAATAGTCTCCGCCTGAGCCAGTATATCCGAGTCAAGGGCGGCGCCTTCTACTCCGGGCACATTCGTTTGACCCCTGATAGGCGACGAGGGAGCGAAGACGGAATGGGAATGAAGGAGGGGAGATCTAGGTGCGGAAGGGGAAGTTGATGGTAAAACAGCAGGGTTCGTACTTCGTCGAGAGATCCGAGGGAAATTTGTTAAAGCAGATGATGGGTGGAGATAATCGCCCGGAGGTAGTGATCCGGTACTGTCCTGTCTTTGAGTTTTGATGGGATGAGGTTTGCTTGAGTCGGATCGACCTGGGCCATTGGCAAGAATCGGAGGTGATCTTTTGTCCTCGACAGGTCCCGCAGAGGTATTCCTTGACTGTCTGTGGTTCCCGGCGGATACCGTCAATCCGATTCTGTCCGACATGGACGGAGCGGAAGCTCGTCGCATGCCTGCATGGTCGGCTGTAGGAGGGGAGAGGGTGGTGGTAGGTGACGGGGGCATCTGAATAGGCTCCGAGGTGATGTTGGGTGAAACCACCAGTGAAGGTCCAAGTGTATCAATTAGGTTTGATACGGAACTCTCATTTCTCTCCGGAACTGGACTGAGAAGCTGACCGCTACCATTGACTCCATGACTGGTGCTTGGGGCTGCTAGTGACATATCTTGATTACCCACCGAAGATAGGTCTTGATCATGTTCCGAAGCATCAAACTGACTTTCCTGATCATAAACTCCATCGTCACTAGCAGGCGGGCTGGGTGGTGGTCTTTGCATATCCATGGGTCCGCCAATGGGCATACCCGGTAAAGGTTTGTTGTTGGTTATTGGGATTGACACATCTCCGTTATTGTCTTTCTTGAACACATTGCTCACTTTCTTCATCAACCTTCTCGGACGGTTGGCTTGAGGTCCAGGACCTGAAACTACTCTGACGGAATCCGAACTGACTTTGGTAACATGTACCGGTGTTTGACCGTTTGGTGTCGCGTCGCCGATGGCCGAACGAAAGGCATTTCCAAAAGTATCCGGGTCGTCTGTTTTGAATGAAGGGAGAGGGTCATCAGATGTTAAAGCTTGTAGATGTGGTGGGAGGGGAGGAAGTGGGTCAGAAGAGTTGGGATGGGATAAGAGGTGGAAAGGATTGACACGGGATTCATGAGGTCCTGTTTAGATATCAGTTTTGATGATGAACGGAGGGAAGTGCTTGACTATATGTGGGATTGTCACTCACCTAGTTGGAAAGCTTCTATACTGGGTTGAGGGGTAGGATGTCCGTTCACATGCGCTGCTGCTCTTCGTTTGAGAACAGTCTCCGCCTCTAATTTGGCTTGAGCATCATATGAAGCGTCCGTCGGATCTGAAACACCATTGCTTCTGTCGATGCTGGGCTGGCGGTCGTCATGGGCGTTTTCGAACAATGGATCTGGTCGCGTGGGTGTTATTGAGACGACCATTATCCTTGGGATCGAATTGGAGAGACAAGTCACAGGTGATAAACGAGCATGAGAGAAGAGGATGAAGTGAAAGCGTGGAAAGATGGAGAAAGATTAGGTGATGGGTGATGATGGTAAGTGCCAAGAGGGACAACTATCCCAGTCGGGTAAATCACAACAGTACTACTGCGGCGGCCGACCCGGAAGGGCTGGACCAGTGCGGTTGGTGATGGATGTTTCAGTTGCAACGAGCGGGATATTGGCACAGCCACGCTGGATAGAGTGGTTGGAGCAAGACTTGAGTGTAGGTGACCTGTGATATATAGTAGCTGTATACTGTAGTGAAGGGAGAGAAGAAGGAGGAAAGTGGGGGAAAGGAAGGGTTAGTAGATAGCTGTGAATAAAATGGCGTGTGACACGGACCTCTTTTAAAGTTTTTGGCACAAACCACTCAGTTCGTACTTACTACTTTCCATAACGACATGTCATCTCATACACCTATCTCCTGATAATGCAAACTTTTTCTTCAATACTCACAAATGGTCCTCAACACTTTCTCCAAGCTTTCAAAGCTTCCGACCAGGGATCATGGTACGATTCTAACCTTTTCGGTCTTACTCAATTCCCCAACATGGGATGGGGTGCCGTAGCTTTGATCGATATTCCCGTGTGTTTCCTTTTTTTCTTCTTTATATCATCCTGACGCTGTGTCCAAATCCCTACTAAACCATTCTTATCTCTTACGAAACATCCGATCTAAGCTGAAATCATCATGTAGGTCGATACCCCGCTGTTTCACATCCCATCGAATCTTCTACTCACTCCCTATACCTCAAGACTCGCCTCTTTGCTCGCAGATGAGGAATGGGATAAACTCGATATCGGGTGGGCTCGACTCATCCTTGTGATGATGTACGAGACATCTTTAGGGCAAAAATCAAAATGGTATCAATACTTGAGCAAGCTTTTCCTTCCTTGTCGGCCCACATGGCTGATCGCCGAGACAGAAAGTATGCCGACCAAATTTGACACTCCAATGTTCTGGGACGAAACTCGTCGTGCTGAGCTCATCGGGACTGATCTCGAAGGTGAGTCTCACTGTATCTCAAACGGCTTCATCACAACTGTCGTGTGATCGAAAGCTGATCATCAGGTAGAATAGGTCGTGAAGATGCCGATAAGCAATATTTTGAGATTCTCCTCCCCATCATTCAAGCTCACCCTGATATCTTTCCTCCCAACTCCATCGACACTTCTCTGGAGGCGTATCATCTTCAAGGCTCGCGTATTCTTTCCAGATCATTCACTATCCCACGTTCTAAAGCTGGTGGTCCGGCCCCCCACGTAGTGGAAAGCGACGACAGCGACAGCGACAGCGATGAGGAAGAAGGAGGAGTAGCGGCGATGGTATGGATGGCAGATATGCTCAATGCGGCTTATGAACTCGATAATGCAAGATTATATGATACTTCCGAAAACACCTCTGCGACTTCGACAGAGCCATGGGATAGACCGGGGTATACCATGAGAAGTACGAAACTTATCAAAGCTGGAGAACAGATCGTATGTTTATCCTTTCAATCTAAACTCACAGGCTGAACTCCCCTGAGCTGACATACAGTATAACACCTACGATTCACCACCCAATTCTGAATTGTTGAGGAAATACGGTCATGTGGATCAATTACCCTTACCGCAAACCATCCTTGAACTGCTTACTTCTGAAGAAGTAGGAAATCATCCTGTTGGTAATCCAGGAGATGAAGTGTTTCTTCCCGGTGATATGGTCTTGGACGCTGTGACGGAAGTCAGGGGTAAGAAAAAGGAGGATTTGACAGAGAGAGTTGATTGGTGGTTAGAGGAAGGCTACGAGGAGTGAGTTACCCAATATCACACCCTCTTCACTGACATTACCCTATCACTTTTCCAGTACCTCCATTTAGCCTCTTCTTTCTTCCCTCACTGACACAATCCACTATCACCCCTCTTTCAGTCAATTTTCACCTCTGGGTAGCCGTTGAGCTCCTCAAATAACTTTTCGATTGTCAGTGATAATCTGACTGAATCCTCGAAATCAATATAGTGGACCAGATGCAAATTCGGAGTTCTGGCTGATCACAAAGTACATTCCCCCTCACCTATTCTGATCCCATAAATGAAGATCTCATCCCATTCATCCGTCTCATGATTGACGACGACGATTGGTCTCGCGCACAACACAAAGGTAAACGACCCCATGCGAAGATGGACCAAGTTGTACAAAGTGTTCTTCTTTCCGCTTTGGACCTAAGGGCAGCGAAATATAAGACTTCTATAGAGGTATGTGGGTGTTTTGACTACCTTACCAAGCTCCCCATTCTTTGATGTTTTTATTCCCAATGATCGATGCACGTCTCAAACTCCAGAAAATGGTACTCCCCTTCCGCTCCCCCCTCTCCGGTACCAGATAATCGTGTCCGCGTTTATCTGACCACTTCATTCGTCTTTCTCCCAATGTATTTGATTCGTCACCATATGTCTGTCATGCATGATATCACGAGTTGACGAAAAGGATGATCTGGCAATCATCTCCGATTCACCAGGTGAAAAACGGGCTGCGGTGGTACGTTTAGGTGAAAAACGAATACTCAATGTTGCTCATCGAGTCGTCATGACTGCGAAACTCGAAACCTCCACAAACGAGAAGAAACGGACGGCGACCGATTATGACGAAAGTAGATCAAAGAAGAAAAGATAACGTATGAAAATGTATTCTTACTCGTGTCCTCTCGTCATTTTCATCATTCTCAAATTCACTATGCACTACCAATCCTTGAGGATTCATCGAGGATCAGATGCAACGATATGACTAGATCCCAAAAGATGCATCACTATTCATAAAATATCAGATCATACGAGTTGTTGCCATCCCTCTTCATCCCTATGTCCACCATTAACGTTTGATCGATGTAGATGATCAAACCCAACACTGTCGTCCTGATCAGAGATAACACTATCATCTATTTGACTTTGACTGATCAAACCCCCTCTTTCTTCTTTATCACCATCTTTCTTTCCTAATTCCGCCGTCCATTGTCCTACACCACGACTGGCATCCTTAGCTAATCTACCAACACCTACAGCGAGAGCTGATAGACCGCTGGATAATTCTTGAGAGGTTGATCGGACGTGTGAGGTTGTTTGTCCTCGTGGACGAAGAGAAGGGAGTAGAGACTTTATTTCGATTGTCCATAATATCGGACGTGATGTACGTATGTAGACTAGGGGAGAAGGAGGTAATAGATGATTTGAGGTTGATATAGAGGTGGAGAATGATGCTATCCAATCTGATTTGAACTCAGCAGATACTCTTATTTTCTTGTTTGGAGTCACTTCATAGTTGAGGACACCGTACTGAATGATATATTAGGGGAAGTTTTGAGTAGAATTTGTTTTGGCATGGTGGAAGTCCAGTAATTCCGATGATCATAGAAGGGATTAACCCGCAATGTGTTAATGAGGAGATGAGCCTTGGGGGACATGTTATAGTGAGAGAGAAAGATCTGATCATATACACTTACCTAGATCCCATTTTAAACCCTCCGTCTTGATATACGATTCTTCCACTCCAACAGGTAACAAACCACATGTCTGACCCATGATGGTATGATCAATCTCCACTAAATGAGATCCCTCATCATCAGCTCTCCCACTAACAATTCTCCCTTTCTCGCTTCTCTTACAAGATCTGGAAGATGCTCACCTCGTCTAATGTCCATGCAAGGGATTCACCACTGATAACAAATGTCTCTGGTCGAGTTTTACGCATTTTGTGTAGCAAAAACATTGTATGTACAGATTGATCGATCCGACCGGAAAGACCTCCCATAAGGATGAGGTGATACTGAGCGTCAGAACGACCTGAATCAGTGTCTTGTCCGTAGTGCAATTTCAGTGCCCAGATGATGTGGGATGAGCTTGAGAGGAGACGGGTCGTGAGAGAGGAATGAAAGGAATACTACCCACTTTCTTCCCTGAAGCCTCTTCCAAAGCTTCAATCTCGGAGATGCACTTCATCAAGTCGGTAGCATATTCTGAACCGTCGTGTTTTATGGACACGCCCTGTCGAGTCAACTTTTCAGAAAGGGTATTTTCAAGTGGAAACAAACTTTTTGAGCGTAATAAGTATGAACGTCGGTCCGGATAGAGTCGAGATCACCTTTGATCATATTGGGTAGATATCTATTACCTCAGCGTTCGCCTCGTTTCATAGTGTGATAGATCAAGAGACAGAAAGGTGACGAGGAGCGAGTGATTGGTTCTACTCACGCCAAACGATTGTCTGCGTTCCACAGATCGTACAATCTATTTGCACCTCCATCTGCACAATATCGTACTTCGCCTGAGAGATTAGCTTGACTCCTACTGCAACTTTGTGAGACATTAGGATCCGACTCACTCGCATTCCATACTCTCAAAAAGACATCTTTTCTAGTGATCGGCTGATTGAGAATGATCAGAGCATATTTTCTTCCGCTCGGCTCTCCGTTGAAAAGATCACAACAATTCCATATTCTGGCATCTGGTTCTTTCTCCAAGTACCGTTTCGAGGCGATTGAGAACGACTCTTTCGGTTGATATTTACCCGAAGTTCTTCTAGGTGGAGGTTCTTCTTTCTCCGCTGCATGTAAAGCTTCCGAGACTATTTGTCTTGGGTCGTTGCTCTTCAGAGGAAGTGATTTTCGACGTACGGGTGGTTGTTTTTGAACACTGTTATCACTCGAGGAAGAAGAAGTAAGAGGTTGTGTCGTTGGAATGGAAGGCCGAACCAGATGAATCGTTGCTGCTCTGCTGAGATTTGACGGACGTCCATGGGCCTCATCAGCAGCTTGTAAACTTTGTAGCATTATTCGAGATGGCGTGGCGAGCTTTGTGGGTTGATGGATCGTTGCTGGACGTTCGGGGGAAGATCCAGGGATGGAAAGAGGTCGTGAAATTTGAGATGATTTACGAGGTGGGAGAGAAGGTGCAGTTCCTCCTGACACTGAAACGCGACGAGGGGGAAGGGGAGGAGGTGCTTTTTTGCTTGAAGAAGAGGAGATTGTGGAGGGTTGGGAAGCTAATCTTTGACGGAAAGGGTTCTTGGATAAAGTAGCTGGAGCCGAGTGAGTAGGGGGTTTGATGAGGTCATCAGAGGAAGATGTCGGAGCATGGGATAGAGTGGTAGGGGATCTGACAGGTGGAGGAGGGGGTTTGAGAGGTATCGGTTCGGCTATGTGTGAGCCTTTTAGAATATTTTCAAAAGCTATACATTGGTTGTAAGGAAGAAGTGAATGAATATACAAGCACGAAGAGAAAGATGACACATACTTGGAACGTAAATCAGTTGCAGCTCAGCCTTTTGAGGTCTCTTCTGTCCTTTACTACCAACAGAATGAGCCAACAACCTCATCACTCCATACACCTGTCTGTCCGAAAGCCTCGTGTCATTTTCAGGCAAATACGACATTACCTGTGATTAGTCTGTGTAGTCACTTCTTCCCGATCTCAGACTCACATCATCTGCAAGAGTTCCCGGGACATCCAATCTCTGACAGACGAACGTCCTGAGAGTCTCTCGAGAGATCGTATGAGGACCGACATGATCTTTGGACAGAGCGAGAATGGCGAGGTATTGATCATACGCCCTTCGCTCGGATGGTGATAGCTGAGTGTCAGGGGCGTCCTTCGAGCTGATGAGACTTACGGAGGAAGGTTCCAATTCCAACGGAGTGGAATATGGGGACATAGTTGTGATGTTAAGGATGCACAAGTGTCCAAAAGATGGACCTAGTACAGTACGAGTACAGTGTACAGTAAGTTAGGGCAGAGGGAAAGGAAAGGGTGAACGGAAGAATATGTTTCCGACGGAAACTTAACGCGGTCAAGGTCTGGCACTTAGTTGCAAAACTGGATAATCCCGACGGAACTCGAATTAATCCCGACGAAATTTTGCCACTTTCTCCCAAAATACGTCGTTCAACTCCCATATCCCGTCACTACTGACCCAAATCCCTTCACTATTAAAAAATCATCTTTCCGTGGCTTTTCTGATATCATTGGAATGCCTGACGCCTTCTGAGTCTATTCATACCATTTTCGGAACAGCTTTCGGAGTATTGACCACAGGGGCATGGGCAATGTCCCCAACCCAAAATCCTACTTCCTTTTCGGTCCCCTTTCGGCCGAATTCGGGAGCTTTCGGTAATAGTCACATACTCACTACTGACTACCAATCTACCCAAGTGAATAGCTTCTTTCATGTATGTAAGTATGTATGTATGTTCATGTTCATGGTAATACATCCTCTGAATGCACAAAACTCTCTTAAGGATCCATCATGTTGACGTGTTTCTGATGGTGATGGGGTTGGTTGAACTTCTACTAAGTACCAACACGGGCTGACGCGATTTTCCCCGTTTTTCATTCCTTCCATTCACTTCTTCTCTTCACTTCACTTCACTTCTCTTCAGCATCTTCATATCTTTTTCCAGCTTACATTAGCCAGCGTTTTTCATCTGCTCTCCACTGCTCACTCTCAACTGATCTCACTGCTCATTCTGCATCTGTGTGCTTCATCTCACCTTCCCCCTTGGCTCGTCCGAATTATCTTATCATCAAAATTAGAGTCTTCCCACTCCCCCTTCCTCCCAATCTCTCTGACCTCTTTGACCTCTTTCTCAAAATGCCGAACCCCTTCGACCCAAAAACAGATAAATCCACTGTAAACCCTCCGAAGGGTTACAAATTACACCCCGACCACGTTCATTTCCAAAAATATCTTCAGCCACAACACCCCATTTGGAAGAATGAGAAATCACTTCGTTCTTTTCAAGCTGAGATAGGGTTTTACCTCCAACCCTGGTGGCATGCAGAGCCGAAGTATCTTCCCCAGCATGCTGAAAAGCTAGGACTTCGGGAAGCTACCCCGAAACAAATGAAGGAAGAGGGTATTCGGGCGATTACTAGAGGGTCACGATGCTATTCGGCGGATGAGTCGGCGACAAAGCCAAACTGTCATGTCCAGTTTTGTGTTTCGGCTTTCAATTACACGTGAGTATTGGTTTGTCAAATATGGCTTCCGAATTCGGGAGAAATTAACGAAACTCAATGCTGATCTCAGACATCCCGAAGTGAAATGTGTCAATGTACCTGATGGTCGACCAGTGTTTCTCAACCGTTGGGACGAAGGAAAGTTTCGTGTCTGTGTCCACTGTTATAACTCCACAAAGCCCCCTCTCACCTGCTCCCTCAAGGGCAAGCCGACCAATTTCCTTGTCGAAGAGTCCTCCGAAAGTGAAAAACGGCCGAAAAAGTCATCACAAGGTCAGGACAAGCCTGAGGACAGCTCGGATTCTGATTCGGACTCATCGGACTCTGAACATTCACGACATCCCTCCCCTCCGAAACCTCGCCGGCCAGCCACCACAACACGCTCTACAAGAGCTTCGGCCCCCAAGAAATCGGTTTCTCCCCCCCCTCCCGAAAAAGGAAAAGGAAAGGGAAAAGAAAAAGCTCCCCCTGCAACTTCCACGGCGATTGGGTTCTCAAATGCGCCACTGCAGGAACCGGTAGGACTGAAGGACAAGCGTAGGACTGCTAGGGGAGGCACTGTCGCAGCTGGGGATGCTGCAAAATCCCGTCCGAAATGGGTTGTCAGACCTTCTCCAAAACCTCTCACCGAAGCGCGTACGTCTGCTAGAGAGCAACCTCGTTCGGAGGTGAGTTTTCTAAGTTCCGGACCGAAAGCAAGTCTCAGCAGCTGACTTTTAGGGAGAAACAGAACTTTCTTCTCCAGCTGGTCCTACTCTTGTTCAAGATTCCAGCTTGGGTCAAGATGATGGGGAAGAAAGACCTCAACCGGAACAATCTACAGCCCGAAATGAGAGGCCACGATTCCCTCCCCGCCCTCCAAAATTTGCCGATGTTGTTCCCGAAAAGGAACCCTCCGAAATTGCCCCCCCCGTTTTCTCTGCAGGTTTGCCAGCTGGGATCTCTCCCATACTTGTCCGAAGTAGTCCTGTTCATCCTCCTGTGAACAAGCGTGCCCTGGAGGATGTAAACGAGTCCCAGCCCGAACCGAAACGAGCTCGTCCGTTCTCCGTTGAACAAAGTCCTCCCCAGCCCGAAATGGATCTTACCTCCGAAAAGGTGCCCACAATGTCCCCTGTTGGTCCTGTTCCTTCTCCTGCCGTATCTGTTCGACAACAGGCCGTTCCCTCTGCTCTTGACCCATTTATAGCACAAACACAGACGGTTTTGGGTGTTACATTGCAAGAATCACCAACAATCCCTTCGCCTCACAAAGCTAAAAGTGTCACACCGGCCCCCTTTCCCAGCCCCTCCCCTGCTCCGAAAGCAGGCCCTCCTCCAAACCTTCAACCTGGGTCTTCTTCTCTCGTCTCTGGCCCTCCCCAAATCTCCCCATTACCTACCTCACTACATACGTTTGCAGCGGTAAAGCAGTGGCTACAGCAGAAGGGCCTGGATCGATCAGGTGTGCAGAGTCATCCTGGTCCGAACCCATCGACCAATGTTCCGAAACCCACGATGGCTCCGAAACCCATAGTTCCTCCAATCTTTGCTTCCCAATCGGCTCCCCCTCAGACTCCACCTCCCACTTCTCTCATTCGTTCTCACTCAGAATTCGTTGGCTCTGGTCCCACAGCTTTGCCAGGTCAGATACCCTCCATTCCTGTCACTTCGGTCAATGTGGTCAGTAAACTCCCTCAAATGAACCCACCACTCCAGCCCGAATTTCGGACCGAAAGACCCACTGTCCCTTCTTTGGACCAGCCTGCACCCGAAAAGGTTGTCCCTTACATCCCGGCTCCACCGTCTACCATGCCCGAAGTTGAACAGTGTCTGCATCGTATGAGTGAGTTTCAAGAGACTCAGGCTCAGTTTGAGGAGCAATTCTCTTCCCGAATGGTCGCTCAAGTTTCCGAGATGATAGACTATTACCGAGAAATCAACCGAGGACGGCATCAAGCCTACTCCGAAAGTGTCACACAATCACTTTCGGGTGTGAGAGCTATCAATGGGACATGGAGCGAATTCAAAGCGCGGTATGACTCGGTGGTTTCTGAAAGAGATGTGGCTCAAGGAGAGGTAAAGACACTGGACCGGCTGTACAAAGAGCAGATTGATAAGAATGAGGAGAGAGATCATGCTGTTGCCCGAGTCACCGCCGAAAAGGACGCCGAAATTGCTTCAATCCGAAAGCAGTTGGAGGAGACACAGGAAGGGCTCAAGACTATGAGCCAGAGGTTCGCTAGTGCAATGGGGGATAAGGAAAAGGAGGCTCAGGCTCGTCAGTCTGCTGAACAGCGGTGTTCAGATCTGGCCAGACAGATGGCTGAGAAGGAAAACACCGAATTGGAAACTCTCCGAGCTCGTCTTTCGGAGGCCGAAGCCGCTAAGTTGACAATGCAACAGCAAAACGGCGAGGCATTGCAGTTTGTGCAAATTACCGCTGCCATGCAAAATGAGACTGAGATGGAGAATGTACGGTTGAAGGAACTCAAAGAGCAGTTGGAGGGAGCAAATGAGCAGTTACGGGCAGACCTTCAAGCGGATCAAGAGGAGTGGGAATCGGCCAACTACACCATCAGGCAACTTGAGTCAGAACTCGAAGAGGTCAAACGAGAAAAGTCTCGGCTACAGGTCCTCTTTGACATTAGGACTTACTCTGCGAAGCCGAACGAGTACTCTGACCGAAGAAGAGCTCACAGTCTTGATCCCCCTTCCACCAAGATCACCGCTCGAAACTCCGAAAGTACCGCACCGAATCCCGAAAATGACCCTTCAAACTCCGAAAATGTACTTTCTTCAAAACCAACACGTCATGATCCCTTTCCCACAATCC